TATGGGGAAAATTGATTCGTAAATCGTAAATTTCGTTTATAGTAACGGCTCCAGGAACGGATTAATTACGAACAACGAGGGACCACTGTATATGTAAATAGTTAAGCACACGTGTAAGCACACCTATGGCAAGACAGTGATAGAGTGAATGATGATGAAAGTTTTCCTTTTTTGGGTCACCCTGCCTTGGTGGGAATCAGCTGATGTGTTAATAAAAATAAAAGAAAAAGCACTGTTTACTCTGAAAAATTCTAGGTATGAAAGCTTTTTGTGGCCCTAATACAGTGTTATTCACTAATTTTTGCAAGAGAGCCACTTCGGTTAAACACATTGGTTGAGAGAGCCGCAGCTACTGCAAGTTAGCGTAACTCAACTAAATTAAGTAGTACTGAGCTGCTAGTGCAATATAGTAAATGAGAAAAATTAGACATGGTAATATTAGCCTGCATATCTTGTTATTAATAGCGGCTCGCGAGCCGCGCAATGAATACCACTGCCCTAATAGGTGAAGGCATCAGGTCATCCTGTATTGTTTGGAGAGACTAAGGTCACCTGTGTCCTTTCATCCACATTGCTGGTATTGATATACCATGGACCCTCGAGTTTTGTAATTAATCCGTTCCAGAGAGTCTGACGAAAGGCAAAATTTACGAATGGTGATACCATTTTCCCGATAAGAAATAACGTAAATCCAATTAATCCGTTCCAGACACCTAAAAGTATTAAAAAAAAAATATTTTTTTATATTAAATATAGATTTACATACAGAAAACAATGAGACATCAAGTATAAAACAATAACATCACACTTACCTTTATTGAAGACTTGTTGGTGTGTGGAAGACACGAGGAGGGGAGAGGATGGAGAAGTTACACTATTGTCTGGAAGGGGAATCCCCTTCCAGAAAGACTTTAGGTACCAAGTCCTTATCCGGGGTTACTTCCCTTCTTTGTTTTTTTAATGCCACTAGGAGCAGCTTGAGAGTCATTGGACCCCTGTTGCTCAAAAAATTGTTTCAGAGAGCTCTGTTTCTGGTGTCTCTTTAAAATTTGCCTAATATGGGACAAGACATTGTCACTATACATGTTATCAACACGGCTTGCAACAGCTTTGTCAGGGTAATGTTCCACAAACATTTGCACCTCATTCCACTTTGCACAAATGTCCTTTATCTTTGAAGAAGGCACCTTCTTCCATCTCTTCCCCCTCCTCCTCTGAAGCAATTTCCTGAGCTGTGGTCTGTTGCTGTTGCAGATAAAGGTCTTGCAACTCTTCAGTGGTTTACTCTTCACTGTGGTCCTCCACCAACTCTTCCACATCCTGGCCACCCACATCCAACCCCATGGAATTCCCCAATGCCACAATAGCTTCCACAACTGGCATAGGGTTGTCACAGTCAGTTTCAAACCCTTCGAAATCTTTGTTGAGGACACAATCTGGCCACAATTTTCTCCAAGCAGAGTTCAAAGACCTGGAAGTCACTCCCTGCTAAGCCTTATCTATAAGGCCTATGCAATAGAGGATATTGAAGTGATCTTTCCAGAACTATCTTAGGGTCAATTGAGTGTCTGAGGTCACATCAAAGCACCTTTGAAACATTGTTTTGGTGTAGAGTTTTTTGAAGTTTGAAATGATCTGCTGGTCCATGGACTGGATGAAAGGAGTGGTATTAGGGGGCAAGAACTTCACTGTGATGAAACTAAACTCCTCCACCATTTGGTCATCCAAGTCTGGAGGATGAGCAGGAGCATTGTCCATTACCAGGAGGCACTTGAGTGGCAATTTATTTTCCAGTAAAGACTTCACGTTGAAATCCCCACTAGCATTACCACAGAACATGAGAGTTAGCCTGTCTTTCATAGGCTTGTGTCCTGGCAGTGCCATTTCCTCCTGCGTGATGTAGGTCCTCTTATGGCATTTTCTTCCAGGATAGGCCTCTATATAGTCCTTGAATTCCTGCACAAATTTTTCAGCTGCACATTTGTCAGAACTTGCAGCGTTGCCATGCCTTACCACACTGTGTATGCCATTATGCTTCTTAAATCTCTCAAACCAGCCTTTGCTGGCCTTAAATTCACTAACATCAGCACTTGTTCCAGGCATTTTCTTTGAGATCGGCATGCCACTGCCTTGCCTTTTCACAAATTATCGACTGCATAACACTATCTCCTGCTAACTGTTTTTGGTTGATCCACACCAACAACAAATTCTCAACATCTTTGAGTATTTGCAAACTTTTTTTGAGAGCATATCTACCCCTTTCACAACAAAAGCTGCCTTGATTTTCTTTTTCTTTGCCACAGTGGAAGTGATGCTATATGGGGCTGCCCATACATCCTGGCAGGATGGGCCACACGCATGCCACTTTCATATTTTGCATTGATTTCTTTCTTGAATTTTATCGCATTTCTCACATTCTTTACCAAAGGGCTGGCACTAGAAGCTTTCATTGGGCCCATGGTGGCTTATTTAGCAGTTGCAAGCACAACAAAGAATGGAATATTACGAAATGTATCATATGAACGCGTGGGGTGATGGTCACTCGCCAATAAACAATGCGCCACTGACTGGAAATGGTGTGTGGGGTGCTTTTGTATGGCACGGATGATGGGAGGCCGCTCATATGCGTTCTGGATGATGACGAATGGCAAGGCAAATTATGAACCGCGAGGCTATGTTTTGACGAGAAAAGTTGTTGAATAGTGAAATTTACGAAGCGCGCGTTTTATGAAACTCGAGGGTCTGCTGTAACTTCTACCTTCACAAGGACTCAGAGAAATAAGTGACCATCTTGAAGTTTATTGTGTTATCATGGGTTAATTTAAACAGATGTTACTCTATAAGACAGTTGTAAAAATCTAAACTGGTGTAAAGAACTTAAAAGTTTCCTTGGGTTAAATCAGCATGAAATAAGAAATAAGAACCCTAGTGGAAATGAAGATTAAATTTTATGTGATGTACTTTATCTGTGTTCCCATAACTGTGTGCCCTTAAGATGACTGTAAAAATTTAATGTGTATACAACCTAAATAAACATATTACAGAGGCACATATTAAATTGAGGGACTTGGCCCTAACATTCTGTTGTTGAAGCAAATTACAGTGGTATTGAACTATTAACATGTTCAGGATAAGTTGTAATGAAGTACGTCAATGAATTAACGAAAGAATGGACAGGGACTTGGAACTGTGATCCATGCATGTAGCAGGCCCAATGCTGTAACCACACAACCACAAAGCTAACCTAGAGTATACCTGGAAAGGGCTTTGGGGGTCAATGCCCCTGTAACCCGGTCTGTGACCAGGCCTCATGGTGGATCGGGGCCTGATCAACCTGGCTGTTACTGTTAACTGCACACAAACTGACATACAAACCACAGCCTGGCTGGTCAAGTACTGGCTTTAGGTGCCTGTTCAGTGTCGTCTTGAAGACAGCCAGAGGTCTATTGGTAATCCCCCTTATGTATGCTATAAGGCAGTTGAACAGTCTTGGGCCCCCAACACTTATTGTGTTGTCTCTTAGTACTCGTGGCACCCCTGCTTTTCATTGGGGGGATGTTGCACTGCCTTCTGAGTCTTATACTTTCATAAGGAGTGATTTTCATGTGCAGATTAGGTATTTGGTATTAAATTGTAAAATCATCCTATTATAAGCTCTTTGGCTGAGTGGTTATAGTTTCTTATTTACAGGTTATTGATCATTGCTTATAGTATTGAATTTGTTATACAAGTTTGTTGATAGGCTAATTACAATGGTTATAAATTATTTACAGTTGTCAAAATTAGGATATTTTTCCATAATTACTGGTAACACTTAAATACATAAATAATTTAGTGCCACATGATGCATAGTTTTTTACAGAAATAGTATAATAACCTATGTGATATCTCGAGATATCTTATTATTAAAAATAAGATACCAGATATATTAAACAAATTTTCTAAATTTGCTTGCAACAGATAAGTGAACTGTAGATATAAATCTAAATGCACATCTGTAAACCCTTTTGAGGATTAGTTCCCAGGCCTTTTGTGTATCCATATGCTCTTGTGCTACTGTCCACAGGATGGATATGTGGTGCACAATAAATTAGCTGTTTCAGCAACAGAAATCTAAAAAATCTACTGTACATAGTTTTTTTTTTCTATTGATATATTCATTCAGGATGAGTGATGCTAGTTGCACAACAAGAAATTTGTAATTCACTTGAATGTTAATGTACAAAAGATAAATTACTAAATTGTCATGAAGATAAGAGAGAGACTGAGAGAGAGAGAGAGACTGAGAGAGAGAGAGAGACTGAGAGAGAGAGAGAGAGACTGAGAGAGAGAGAAGAGAGACTGAGAGAGAGAGAGAGAGACTGAGAGAGAGAGAGAGAGACTGAGAGAGAGAGAGAGAGACTGAGAGAGAGAGAGAGAGACTGAGAGAGAGAGAGAGAGAGACTGAGAGAGAGACTGAGAGAGAGAGAGACTGAGAGAGAGAGAGAGACTGAAGAGAGAGAGAGAACTGAGAGAGAGAGAGAGACTGAGAGAGAGAGAGACTGAGAGAGAGAGAGAGACTGAGAGAGAGAGAGAGACGAGAGAGAGAGAGAGACTGAGAGAGAGAGAGAGAGAGAGAGAGAGAGAGAGAGAGAGAGAGAGAGACTGAGAGAGAGAGAGAGAGACTGAGAGAGAGAGAGAGAGACTGAGAGAGAGAGAGAGAGACTGAGAGAGAGAGAGACGAGAGATGAGGAGACTGAGAGAGAGAGAGACTGAGAGAGAGAGAGAGACTGAAGAGAGAGAGAGACTGAGAGAGAGAGAGACTGAAAAGAGAGAGAGAGAGAGAGAGAGAGAGAGAGAGAGAGAGAGAGACGTGATGAGAGAGAAGAGAGAGAGACTGAGAGAGAGAGAGAGAGACTGAGAGAGAGAGACTGAGAGAGAGAGAGAGAGACTGAGAGAGAGAGAGACTGAGAGACTGACTGACTGTACATTTATAAACTAAAAGTTATTTATATTTGCAGATGAGAGAGGGGGGGAGCATCTTCGTCAAGGATCATCAATGTGGAAGTCTTTTTGTAAGTATTGTACATTTGTGTGGTTAATTAAGTTGAAATGCTTCTTCTTTATTTTGCTTTCTTTTTTAATTATTAAGTATGAAACAAATATTTAATTTTCTATTTCTCCTTAAGTTTAATAATACTTTGTGTCAAGCGAGTATTGTACAGTTCTTATACATCATATTATAGTACAGCACTGTACTACAATTAGATTTAGTTATTAAAGGGGCTGCACTTCACATGTTCTTTAATATTAGTTTGATTTTTGATACATGGTGTGGATATTAACAATTAACTTTTAATGCCTAGTTTTGATATTAACACTGAATGAGTGAGTGAAATGAGGGAGATACTGAAGTCCCTGTATGACACAGCATTTAGTGAGCCGTTAATCAGACTGAAAATTTGGTTAATTAAAAAATTCCTGATATTATCATAACACCAAAAGACTTTGAAAAAGCAATAAATGATATGCTCATGCACTTTGCCCCAGGCCCAGAGTCGTGGAACTCTGTTCATCAAGAACTGCAAGAAGACCCTTTCATGTGCCTTGAGGAGAGGGAGCATGGACACAAGGGGTCATCCCAAAGCCACTAAAAAATAACAGATTGCAACAGTGGTTGCAAAGAATTACAGACTGATAGCACTAATGTCCCACATTATAAAAATCTTTGTTAGGTAAAAGGACACAAGTGCAGCTGTGACAATGTTACACTCTCCAGGAACTTTGTCAAGCCGGCAAAGTAGTGGCTTGACAGAGCTCCTGGAGAGCGAAATGTTGCCACAATAAAACGTCACATTAGTTGCATTTGTGTCTTCTTACTGACATTGTCAATAATTCTACCTAATTAATACATAAAAATCTTTGAAAGGGTTCTAAGAAGCAAGATCATCACTCTTCTAGATACCCATCAGTTGCACAAACCAGGGCAACATTGGTTTAGAGCAGGTTGCTCCTGCCTGTCCCAACTACTGGACCACTATAACATGGTCTTGGATGCTTTGGAGGATGAACAAAATGCAGATGTATACACAGCCTTGCAAAAGCCTGCAACAAGTGAAAACATGATGTAATAGCACACAGAATGATAAAGGAATAACAGGAAAAGTTGGTAGATGGATCTATAACTTCCTAACAAATAGAACAGAGTAATAGTAAACAGAGTGAAGTCGGAGGTGGCTACAGTGAAAAGCTCTGTTCCAAAAGGCACAGTACTTGCTCCCATCCTTTTCCTCATCCTCATATCTGACATAGAGATGTAAGCCATAGTACTGTGTCCTCCTTTGTGGATGACACCTAAATTTGCATGACAGTGTCATTCATTGAAGACACTGCAGATCTCCAAGCGGACACCAACCAAATCTGTAAATGGACTGCAGAAAACAACATGAAGTTCAATGAAGACAAATTTCAATGACTCCGCTATGAAAAACTTGAAGAAATTAAAACTGTATTGGAGTATGAAACAAATTCCAACCACACAATAGAGCAAGAAACTAATGCGAAGGACCTAGGAGTGATAATGTTATAGAATCTCACTTTCAAAGATCACAACAGTGTATCTACCACATCTGCTAGGAAAATGATAGGATGGATAATGTGAACCTTCAAAACTGGAGATGCCCAGCCCATGATGATTCTCTTCAAATCGCTTTGCGCTCTCTCTAGGCTGGAATATTGCTGTACAGTGGACCCCCGGTTCGCGATACTAATCCGTTCCTGAGAGCTCGTCGTAAACCAAAAATATCAGAAAGTGAATAAATTTTCCCCATAAGAAATAATGGAAATCAAATTAATCCGTGCAAGACACCCAAAAGTATGAAAAAAAAAAACTTTCACCACATGAAATATTAAGTTTAATGCAATAGAATAGTAATTACAATAACAACAATGACAATAAATAACAATAAATAATGAAAGAATAATTGACACTTACCTTTAATGAAGATCTGGTGATGATTGATGGGATGGGAGGAGGGGAGTGTGTGGATGGTGTTAGCATTTAGAAGGGGAATCCCCCTCCATTAGGACTTGAGGTAGCAAGTCCTTTTCTGGGGTTACTTCCCTTATTCTTTTAATGCCACTAGGACCAGGTTGACAGTCACTGGCCCTCTGTCGCACAACATAACTGGCAGCCTCACCATGCCTAATCACACTATGTATGCCACTACGATTCTTAAATCTTTCAAACCAACCTTTGCTGGCCTTAAATTCACTCACATCACCACTAGTTGCAGGCAATTTTTTTACCAAATTGTCATGCAACTGCCTAGCTTTTTCACAAATGATTGCTTGAGAGATGCTATCTCCTGCTATCTGTTTTTCATTTATCCACACCAATAACAGTCTCTCAACATTTTCTACTACTTGCGGTCACTGTTTCGTAATCACAGTTGCACCTTTTGCAAGAACAGCTTCCTTGATTGCCGTTTTCTTGCTCACTATAGTAGAGATGGTTGATTGGGGTTTACTATACAACCTGACCAGCTCCGACACACGCACTCCACTTTCGTACTTTGCAATTATCTCTTTCTTCATTTCAACAGTCATTAGCACCCTTGGTCTCGAAGGGTTGGCACTGGGAACTTTCTTGGGGCCCATGGTGACTTATTTTGCAAAAACAGGAACCAAAAACAGTGATAATATGGATAATAAGGAATGTACCGAATGTATCCTTAGATGCGCGCACACTGGCTGGCTTGTAAACACTGGCACACACGGGACAGTTCAGGCCACACATGGACACGTCTCGTACAAACCACATCGCATACCGGGTTTTGTATCGGGAAGCGAGGCAAATTTTCTGCGATATAATGCATCGGTTACCGGATTTATCGGATACCGATAGCATTGCGAACCGGGGGTCCACTGTATACTAATGGCCCTTTTCAAGGCAGGTGACATTGCAGACCTTGAGAACATACAGAGAGCTTTCACGGCACGTATAAGTATGATAAAGCACCTAAATTACTGGGAACAGTTGAAACCCCTTGATTTGTACTCGTGGGAATGCAGGCGAGAAAGATACATGATAATATACACTTGGAAAATCTTAGAGGGACTAGTCCCAAATCTGCACATGACAATCACTCCTTACAAAAGCAAAAGACTTGGCAGGAGATGCAGCATCCCCTCAGTGAAAATCAGGAGCACCAGGAGTACATAGAGAAGCATCAGTAAGTGTCAGGGGCCCAAGACTGTTCAACTGCCTTCCATCATATATAAGGGGGGATTACCAGTAGACCCCTGGCTGTCTTCAAGAAGGCACTGGACAGGCACCTAAAGTCAGTACCCGACTTGCCGGGCTGTGGCTCGTATGTTGGTTTATGTGTGGTCAGCAGTAACAGCCTGGTTGATCAGGCCCCGATACACCATGAGACCTGGCCGTGGACCGAGCCACGGGGTGCTGATCCCCGGAATGCCCTACAGGTATACTCCAGATATACCAGGAATATTACAGCACGTACAGTATTAAAATGATTCATTTATCTATACATATCCACAAAGCTTCTAGGAAGCTTGACACATTAGTGATTCCAGTTATATTTGTTTAACCCTTTGAGGGTCCGTCCCGTAGATCTACGACTTTAAGTTCAGGGTCCAAACCGTAGATCTACGTCATGAGCTCAGCTCACTCTGATAAACTGTGAGTGGTACATTTGGGCCTAGATATGAGAGAATACATCTATGTGGTATGTGTGCACCACATAAAACAGATCCTGCAGCACGCTGTGTATAATGAGAAAAAAACTGAAATCATGATTTTTCGATTAAAACAGCGACTTTGCAGTGTTTTTTTGTATGTTTTTTATAGTTGTATTTGCGATTTCTTGGTCTCATTTGATAGAATGGAAGACATATTACAGAAATAAAGATGATTTTGATTGGTTTTAGCACTGGAAATGGCTTGAAACTGAACTCAAAGTAGCAGAAATGTTAAATTTTTGCCGATATTCAAGAATAAACAAACGACCTCACACGTCTAATACACATCAGCTGGTGGGTCTAATATGCATTCACAAATATGGTGATGATATTTATACAATTATTACAGTATTGCATAACAGTAAATCCTCTGTTTTTTGGTGTGAATAAAAATTCATTATGTGAATAAAAAATCAAAATGGAATTTATTTGTAAAGCCTCAAAACGTAACTAATGAACAGAGGAAATGTTAGTTTAGTTCCAGGAATACCTACATTGTTTATTCTGGACCCTATTTTGAAATTGGAATATTTTGAACTTGTGTAAAATTGGCCAAATTAACAATTTCTGATCACTTTAATTTGTAGTTGAAACAGTTGACTTGGCGATTTCTTGTGCTCAATCGATAGAATAGAAGTAATACTAGTGAAATAGCTAAGAATTTGGTTGACTGGAATAATGTAATTGGCCTAAAATGGGAGTCAAAGTCGGCAAAATCGCCGATTCGTAAATATTGCTGACACATCAAAATTCGCGAGAGCATAATTTCGTCAATTTTCCATCAAATTTTGTACTTTTTGTTTTATTACCTTCACAAAAAGATTCTCTACCATTTCACAAGAAAAAATAACAAATTTTTTTTTTGAAAATTCTTGGACACTGGGGCACCACTTCAGATTTGGGCCTTGGACCCTGAAGGGGTTAATTAGATTATTATTATTTATTATAATAAATTCATTATTATTATTGTAATTACCTGGAGTTTACCTGGAGAGAGTTCCGGGGGTCAACGCCCCCGCGGCCCGGTCTGAGACCAGGCCTCCTGGTGGATCAGAGCCTGATCAACCAGGCTGTTGCTGCTGGCTGCACGCAAACCAACATACGAGCCACAGCCCGGCTGATCCGGAACTGACTTTAGGTGCTTGTCCAGTGCCAGCTTGAAGACTGCCAGGGGTCTGTTGGTAATCCCCCTTATGTGTGCTGGGAGGCAGTTGAACAGTCTCGGGCCCCTGACACTTATTGTATGGTCTCTTAACGTGCTAGTGACACCCCTGCTTTTCATTGGGGGGATGGTGCATCGTCTGCCAAGTCT